CTCTCCTTATGGTTTGGATTTTGTTTAGTTCTTGATTTTCTTATAAAACAGATATCGTTTTGCTGCAACTGTGCCGTCAAGGTCGCTTGTTGTGAACCAGGGCCCCTTGTTCTTGATCTTGTTCGCCTGTGACGATTAGTCCTTTCGAATAAAGACTTGAACTCCTTCTCGTTATCATAAGCCTCATATTTATTTATAATTTCAGATTGCGTTCATCCCGTTCTTGCTTGTGTTCTCGATTCGTTTGTAGGAAAGCCTTCTCGATGAGGTCAATTGCGTTCGCGTGGTTGATAACCAACGGAGCAGTGGTGTAACGGTTGCGGGGTCCGAATCAGTCTTGGTTCGAAGCCTAGATCGTGAACGTTGAGTCTCCACCAATCGATACTATCATACCTATCGGAAGATCGGGCCTTATCTATATCATAACCGAGGCGGGCATTTGAACCGCTTTGATAAAGATTTGATTTACCGTGACCTTTAGACCGAGGCAGTTACAATGCCCGCCTCGGTTAATCTATTTTGCCCGCCTCGGAAAAGTTTTTAAGTAGTAGTGACACTGCATCACCAAAGAGCCAAGTCATTCAATTTTGCTCAATTAGACAGCAAGTTTTTGTTAATGTTGTAGCTAGTCTAAGGCACGATGGTTATATACATATGAAGAAGAATTAAAAAAAAAATTTGAAGCCGTAAACATCGATTAGTATGGGTAACGGACCGCAAGTAATCGAATAAGAAATGTCTATGCCTAAAGTTCGAAGGAATCAAGAAGTAAGCGAGCTTAAGAGTGTCATCTGAACATCCCCAAACGTCTTCTTTGTATTTTTTTTGGTAGCAGATGAATACAATTTAAAAGGTAGTGGAGCTAGATTTGATGGAAGCACAATCCCACATGGTAAATCAAAGTTCAACTTCACAGGATTGTCAGGTAGTCAGCCGCAAGCATAACTACTATATTGAATGACTAAAATCATAATTCCTTTATTAGGATCAAACTTAGGATAATGGCTTCATCATTGTTCTGTAGTGTTGCTGGTTATTTGCATGCATGGTTGGAGCATTGATGGGCTCTGAAATTTCCTCTGATAGGAGTAAACTCAGGTCAGCACCTTTCTATGGAGTGGCCTGCATAGTACATAGAAATGACATTCGTACACATACATCATTGGCATTTGGCAAAAAGATCAATCAACAGATAAAGAAAACAGAGCAAGCTTGTCCTATTATCCAGTTCTGTAGCTAATGGCCGCACTTGTTATTATATACAGCCATGTCAAGGATAATAATAAAACAACTAAAAGTGGAGCATATTACTGCTTATCATTGTCAGCTTATGATCTATGCTGAATCTGTTCCACAGAAGAAAAGAGCAGGGGGAGTCTTGTTTTGTTGTTGTTTAAGAAAATTTAGTACATTCTTGTATTTCACTGTTAAGAAATTTGGACCAAATTGTAGTTTGGAATAAGCTCTATTTCAAGGACTGGTTAAACCATGTAGAGCAAGAAAGGACATGTACTGTTAACTACGCTATCCATATGTTACTTCAATCGGTATTGTTTTAGCTTTATCATAATCAAATAATCCCTGTCCTGAAATTAAGCCCATAGTTATTATATCTACAGAGCTTCAGCAAAATGGAATAAGAAAATTGGAGAGACATTACAAGTTCAGGCCTAGTTTAGTTCTAGGGTGTAAAGTTTTAGGGTGTCACATAGGGTGTTATATGGGTTGTTCGGATACTAATAAAAAAATAAATTACAGAATCCTTCAGTAAACCGCGAGACAAATTTATTCAGCCTAAATAATCCGTCATTAGCACATGTGTTACTGTAGCACTTTATTGTCAAATCATGGACTAATTAGGTTTAAAAGATTTGTCTCGCAAAGTAGTCACAACCTGTATAATTAGTTATTTTTTAGTCTATATTTAATACTCCACACATGTATCCAAATATTCGATGAATATAGTGTAATCTTTTGGGAAGAAACTAAACAAGACCTCAGTACCTGGAGGACACGGGATGGCTTAAATAGGTTACCAACCTGATCTTGTCAACATTCTTCCTGACGACCCGAGACTCATTGCAGTTTATAATTACCTGATCCAGAAGAATCTGGAGTCAAATACATGGGTCAGAATGTCAGATCATCAGTATTTGAAGATAACACGGCCACAGAAACTTGAGAAAAAATAATACATTTAACACATATATCAACATCAGTATTCCACTATCCTAGTTTCAATGTAAGCTTATTTTTATGCTTTTCAAGATATGGCGGTAGTGTAAGGTGGAGTTTCAGGATTGCACAGCCAGAGTTATACTCACGAACAAGCCAATCTCGACACATCATTTTTCCCACAGCATCGAACCATGTCTCCCCTAAAATAATGGCAAGTTTTTTTCTAAAATGAAAAATATTCTATTTATATTTCAGCATATAAACAAAATGCCTACAACTATATCTGAACCATAAAAACTGCAGTTAATTTTTTTTCCTTCTTCAACAAAGCAAGCTTCGGACAACCTGTCACAAGAACAAACGAACGACTTGCAGCTACTGATTTATGAGAACTCCTTTGCCCAAATAGAAAATGTAGTGCCTGCGACAAAGCTGCGCCTTCAAAATCCAATGGGATACTCGTGTACTGGCTGGATCTGGGCGAGATCATCGCCCATGGCCGTGGTGAGGGAAGGACAGTGTAGAACCGCTTCAACTATTTTGACATCCAAACAAAGTTTAGAGACCTTGTTTTGAGAGTATGGGGACCGAGATGACATAGCGACACAAGTTTCAGGAGCGCTAGTGTACTTTACTCATACCTTTTTATAAACTATGTGTTGTTAAAAAAATTAAGCAAGTTGATAAACAAACTAACTAATTAGTAAGAGGTAAGTTAGTATTTGTTAGATTTTGTCCTAAACTTACTTGGATATCTTTTATGTCAGGCAGAAAGAGTATTGTAATACAAAGTTAATATTATTATATTTTTTAAATATATTATCCAATAATTATAAATTTATAATCATAAATAATATAATATAAAATAAAATAATGATGAAAGTGTAATTTAAGAGACCGTGCCATATCTGACTATAGCCATGTAAATGGGACCTGGGTGAGTAATTACCAGGGTTAGGTTTGAATAAACTTAAAGGCAGACCCATGAGAGAGAAAAGTGGAAGTAAGTGACAGGGTTTTCACATTTTAGTTTTCATCATAAGCATGGGTCAAAAATCCTCCACACTAAGTTTGGCAAAACATAAAAAGGCATACCTTGTCAAGTGAAATGCAAACTCTTAACTGACGGCAGGTCGCGCTCCAGCGTCTAGCACGACTGCGCGACCACATCCACGCATTCTCTCTCTCCCTCTCTTCTTCTCCATCTTCAGCAAGAATAGAAAGGAGGTCGGGGGAGGCAGTCAGGCTCGATGGTGGGTACGGGAGAGACGGCAGCAGGGCGGAGACGACAGTGACGCCGCCGGAGCGGCCGGCGGAGGAGGCGGCCGGGTGAAGTTGGGGCAGGGGTTGCCATGGCCATGGTGGCGTGGAGGGGGGAGAAGGAGGTTGCTGCGGGCGTGGTAGGGTCGGGCGGCCATGGCCGCGGAGCTCCGTTGAGAACCAACAGCACCGCGACAGGGCGGTGGGTGGCGGGATCGCGCGTTATCGACCTCCCAAGTGAAAGGCAAAGTACCTTTACAGCAACCAAAGCTCTTGGCCAACCTATCAGCATTTGATTCCTCGATATTATCAGGAACCAGCATTGTTTTCCAATAATTCACTTTGCAGACAGTGGCTGCTCAAATTCACCAAAAATTTTTGCTCCATGGCACAAAATAGTACTCTCCACAACGCGAAAACAAGAGGATCAATAATTACTCTCCACACCTAGTAATAGCAACAACAAGAACAGAGCTGATGCTCTGCAGAGATCGATGGTATGCATATTCTACGACAACAATTACTCCCCACACCGCGAAACGGACGACAATACCAATTTTGCTAAGCCAAACTACTTGCAACTGCAGCACGACCTGTCACGTAGTACTGAAGCTAGATTTCATAACAGGTCTCCCATGGCCTCCTTCAGGCTTCAGAAAGGCATGGCTTCCACTAGCTTTTGTGGTCTCTGCGTGTAATACTAACCACCTGAGGATACAGATACCGAGAACAGGGGTGAGCACCAACAACCAGTGCAACAAGTTAAACCGTTAAATTCATCAACTAGGAAACGATAAACCTACTTAAGTGGGTACTTACAAAAAAAATCAAGGTTAGTAACCTTGTTATGTATCCTGGTCATTTGATGCAGTGCCAGAAGTAGACTTCTGTTTCTTGCATGGATCGTTACTGGATTGAATCCAGTCATCAGGAAAATTCTGATCCGTGACTTCTGAAAATGGGTAAAAATGAAATGTCTCTGTTACATTACGTCCCTCAGCTCTGATAAGTAGAGCAGGATGGCAACAGCAAGTGTTAATGGATGGGATAATATGGGGGGAAAACGGTAGTGCCCAACATGCAATTTCATGTGTATAACTGCAACTTGATGATCTGCTTTGGACATACAATTTGGAATGACCCAATGATCAACCATATGATCAAATAACATAATTCAGAAAGTGAACACAATAGCTACTTCAACCTTTTTTTTTTCTCGAACACACAGGAGGACTGCATATGCAGCATATCATTTCATTGATAGGTAGAAAAGACGGTCGGATTATGTGCCAATTCCATGGCTTCCGTTAGTTTTTTTTTAACAGTCGCACTCTTTAAACTAGATAAAACAGCACAGCCCTGCTCAATGTCCAAGAAATGAGTCCAGCGCCCATCACCCAGAGGTGACCCTGGTCACGCACCTATCTTGGTGTTATTTCAAGTGTCATATTCAACAAGTACAAATTAGTGTCCAATTGTTTATTATTTTTTGACTGATTGTACTAAGTATCTGCGACTCTGCATCCAAAATTGCATTGATTTTATTGCATACTTACTATTTATCAAAGTACTACCAAAATAGGTTCGAACAAAGTGAAACATATAGAGGACACATTTTGCTGGAAAGGAAAGACAAGGTAGTGACCTTTGCTTTTACCAATAATAACAGAAGTCTTCACTACTCCTGCATGGGTCCGGACCTTCTCTCGGACCGTGTCAGTGCCTGACCCATAATCGTCAACAATAGGTTCCATCCCAATGCCACGGTGATTCACACAGGCACCGCGTGGCTTGAAACGCCTTACCCAGGGATTCTCAGGGAGGTTGTTTATAACAATATTACGGAGATTGTTCTTATTAGCATCATAGCTGCAGTTCTCTTGGCCATAAAGTTGCTCCACGAAAGATGCCTCCATGGAGCTTATGTACGAGCTGTGCCGCTCATTTGTCCATCCAGCTGACAACAAGCCTTCAATTTGATCACCCTGCTGAAGAATCAAAAACAAGATCTGTTTACATACAAGAGTCTAAAAATCCCATACAAGATGAAGGTAACCGAACTACAATAGTGTCGTAGTACAAGAGAGTCGTGAAAGAAAAGTTTTACAGATGGTGCATGTTGTATCTACAGTTATGCAAGAGCAATTCAAGACCACATTGGTTCTTTCTTTAGTTTGAATTTGATGTTCCATAGCAGGACATGAGCTCCTGACGAAAATTTCCTCAACAGACTCTTCAGTTCTATAGTAATTTTTAAAACTGAAGTCTGAAAATGTTTGCATAAGCACCAAGAAATGTAATGCCCCCGTATCCAAGAGATACTTACCGAAGAATATTGTACGCAATATGAAATTATTCAGAGGTGTATAAAAAAACAAAGTAGAAACTCTTCATCGAGAATGAACACAACCGCTATGTTTCTGAATCAGATCATCAGTTCATGGTCGGTTACCTTGGCGATACTGCCGGGCAGGGGCAGGGGCAGCGGGTCGTCGTTGATCAACGGCTGGTTCAACGACACACCTCCCATTGGATTGTACACCTCTCAAGAACTTACAATTCTAGGGATTATAAGTTCTCTCCCTTGTTTGTTCTTCTTCCCGAAAAAAGAAACAACCAAAATGGAAGGAGAGAAAGGACCTGCCTAACAGATCGATATACGAGATATTAATCGGCAAAAATCGGGAGACAAAGAAACAGAATCAGCAGAGAACAACCCGTGCACACCCCCAGATTCGAGGCGGCAAAGAAAAGGAACAGCTCCTCGACGAAGACGAAGAAGAAGCAGAGATACGCAAAGAGAGAACAATTCTCGGCTGGTCAGGGAGAGAGAGAGCTCAGGATGCAAACCGAACTGGAACACAGCAGCGTGGTGTATAGAAGAGACGCGAGAGGGAAGGGGGAAGGGAGAGCAGATACATCTCGGCTGGTCCGGGGGTGTGTCAGTGTGTTGGGAGAGCCGCGGTGGGTTCCCATACGCGCCGGGCTTTTCGGTGATGTGGCGGCGTGGGGCGCCACGGGCCTCCGGGGGAAAATATCTCGGTCCCGATATTTTCTACTGGCATCAGAGGCTGCCACGCGGGGCCCGTAGGAGTTTGCCCAGTCTGCGCGGAAAGATCTGCGTCTGGGATGACGTCAGTCCATGACAGGCGAACCACGCTGGCCGAGCATGGCACTCGCCCCTCAAAGTCCGCCGCCCGCTGGAGTGATGACCCCGGCATTTTTTTTTTCACCGTTCGGCTTACCTTATAATCTATATTATTTATCTTGTTTTTTCAGCTGAAATAGTTTTTTTTTTCACAACAATTCAGCCAGAACAGTATTTTTAGCTAAATTTCAGCAAGCCAAACGGGGCCATTTACTTCCTCTAGTCTAAATTATTGTTGATATAATATATACTCTCTCCATTCTAAATTATAAAAATATTTTGATTTTTTAAAATATATTTCTTTTACTACGTATCTAGATATAGTGTATAACAAAAGATACGTATCTAAAGCGAGAGAGAACCTGTAGTATACAAGAGCCTCAGTAGCATTTGAAAGTCAAACATCATATAATTTGGAATGGATAAAGTATATTATTACTTTCTTTTATTTTAAATATATTTATTATATATGGAATGGATAAAGTATATTATTACTTTCTTTATTTTAAATATATTTATTATATATATAATTGCATAGTAACAACTATATACAAAGAAAATAAAAAGGTCTATAATTTAGGATGGAGATTTTTTTTGATTTAGGAGTAATACTAGTAGTAAAACAAGATGATCGTGATCCTTTTCCTAAACACATGGTACTTCCTCATCTCAAATTATAAGATGATTTTCAATTGAAAAATTATAAGACGATTTCCTTTTTTTAGATGCATTGCTTTTACTAGTATCTAGACTAGTGTATATGAAAAGTGCATAACAAAAGCTTTGTATAAGTCAAAAAAAAGCTTTATATATAGAAAAGTTAAAATATCTTATAATTTGGAACAGAGAGAATAGTTGTCGAATGACTATAATATTAAATGTTATTGTTTTGTTACTCCTACCATGGTGAAGATCCTAATCCCACCAAAGCCTCTTGTGGTATTTAATAGTAGGTGTGGCACATATAGGTGTATCCTATGATGGCTCACACTAGCCTTACAAAGTCTTCTCTAGATAATGGGAAAAATCTTGCTTAAGCCTCTTTATAACAGTAGACCTCCACCTTACGGTTCCTAAACAAAAGGCAACCACATGTTAAGGGCATGTCTGGGACTTTCTACTCCATGGGAGCCTTAGGGATCTACTAAATTTGTCTAAATCTATCATACCAAGGCTTCCTTGATCTTTAGGCATGCATACTCTTGGCCAGTTTACCGAGCAATGTCCTTTCTAAAGAAATGAGTGTCGAATCTTGTCTATTTGTTGTTTTGCCCAGGCAGCAAGTGGGAAGATGGTCAAGTGGTAAGTTGGTATGGAAAAACGAACCAAAGTAACAAGGGTGTGTCTCCCCACACGATTAAGTAATCTTCCTTTCCATCTGAGAAGTCGTTTGCTGATTTTTTTTTTCGATGAGTGGCTGCACATGAACTTTTTGTAGTGCACAAACGTGAAGTTGGAGGCCAAGGTAGCGGCAGGGGAAGCCCTTTTGTGCTCCTTGAAATGCTGGAAGGATGTGTTGCAAATCCAAGTCCTCGAGGGAATCTGATTGGATGAATAGAGCTCTTTGTCGAAATTAGTGATCGAGCCGGACACAATTCCAACGTTTTCGAAGATGGTTTTTAGTGCTTGGATGTCTTCATGTCTTGTTCACAAAAATTGCCGCATCATCTAAATAAAGCGACATTCTCAGTCTCATCGAAGCTAAGGGAAGTGGTGTGAGACCACCTTGTTGTGTTGCTGCATCGAGAATCCTTTCGAGTGGGTCTATGGCCAACATGAAGAGCATTGGAGATAGGGGGTCACCCTATCTAACACCCCGCATCTGGTTGAAAGCCTCCCCTTGATGTCCATTTATTATCGCCTTAAAGATGACGTGGCAAACAGGATGCATATCCATTCTCTCCAACGTGGCCCGAAGCCAAGGGCCTGTAGGATATCAAGGATGTAGCTCCAATTAAGGGTGTCCAAGGCCTATTGAATGTCCAATTTGAGGAACTGCAGGTTTCTAACCATGTTTTGAATAAGGTACGCTGGATGCAGCGTCGCTTGATGAAGGCACTGACATTTGAAGACTAAATTTTCGAGGGGCCACTGTTCGCATTGTTATGTAGAAGCTCAGTTAACAGAATGATCAAGGTTACTCCAGGCAACACCTATTAGACGTTTTGCATTAGGCACACCAGAGGTACAACATATATATTTCATTACATGAAATAAAACCTGTAATATGTATTGAATGGGGTCGACTGTCCTTCCCCTACCTTTTCGCTGCATTACGTGTTTTTTTTTTGTTGGTGGGTGGGTTCGGGGGGCAAGATATAACAGTCACACCATTAAGATGGTCCAGGTGCAGAACATGATGTGTGTACTGTTTCACTAGCTTGTTAGACGAATTCCTGTTCCTGGTCATCCGGCCTCCGAGAAGCCTCCTCACCATCGATCATTCTCCTGGTCATGTTGGCCCTCTGAACAAGACGCACCAATGCTTGCACCACCTCAGACATTGGAGGCCTGAACTCTGGCTCAGGCTGCACCAGCAAAGGTTTTGGTTCACAAGGCTAGTATTTTGATGTACACATGTACTAACTGCGTGGTATGTGGAGACTGAAGTTCATACCTGTACACACAGAGCAAGAACATCGGCAAAACGGGAGAGGGATTTGGCGGGGTAAAGACCCTTGAGCGCTGGATCAACCATCTGGTCCAAGGCGTCGATGTCATGCAGCTGGGGAGTCGCCCACCGGACAAGTGATTGCTCTGACCGGGGCCTAGAGCTGCGATGATGTTATGAAATATAGTCAGATCACTAGAAATCACTGCCTGGGCAATGGGTTAAAGCAGTGCTTGCATCTAGTGATGATAGGCATACCTGTCAAATGGTTTACGGCCCGTCAAGAGTTCCAGCATGACGACTCCAAAGCTATATACATCACTCTTGAGGGTATACTGACCGGACATGTCCACCTCAGGGGCACTATATCCAGAAACCTGATCTGAAGCCTGCAGATGTCCCATTTTGAAGCAAAATGAAGAATAGAACTTGTCAGTGAGATGTGATGTAAATCATTTCAGAGCAATTACATCTTCCATTGTTTCGAATCACCAGATAATTCATTCGGGTTCTTTAATGACTATACAAGCTCATATACCCAACATTTTAGGAAGTCCAGGAGCAATAACAAATTCAGCATGGACTAGGTGTTTCTTTACCCCATATAGTTCTACACATGTTTCTTGGAGCAAATTTGCCTAACTTTACCTGGAACTCAGCATCTGGAACAAAACTTGAATGCCCAGCATCAGAAATGTGAGGATTGAGCTCGGTGTCCAGTAAAATATTGGACGACTTAAAGTTCTTGTGAATTATAGATGGAGAACAAATTTCATGAAGATACCTACAGGAAGGCAAGTAGAGTAAATATTGAGGTGCTTGGCAGTAGAGTTTCAATCACCAAAAGGAATTCGATCAACTATTTTTTACCAAATTTCTATCATCATAATTGCATAAAGTGGACACACACACACACACAGAGAGAGAGAGAGAGAGAGAGAGAGAGAGAGAGAGTCAGAGTCGCTTACTCTAGTGCACGTGCAGAGCCCAAGGCAATCTTAACACGAGAATTCCAACTGAGTGGCTTGTTATAATCATCTGAGAGATGGAGCATATCATGCAGTGAACCATTCCTGTGGAAATCATAAATAAGCAAGTGCTGTCCGTGCTCCATGCAGTAGCCCACAAGCTCACTGAGATTGGGATGGTGCAACTTTGAAATGTTCGTCATCAACTCATAGAAATCATCTGATGATTGCCTTGGCAGAGCTGTACTGTTTAATTTCTTCACAGCTAGAACCTAATTCGAGTAAAAAGAAAAGGTAAGCTATATCATATAGTCCCGAACCGCATTACATAAACAACATATTTGGTAGCATGCAAATAACAAGTAAAAGAATAAGACAGGAAAGCTGAACTAGTAGGGAGCATTGGGCTCCAAATTTTCATTTGTGCAAACTGATTTAATAGATTTTAGTCCAATCTTTCTTGTCAAAAAGAAATGAATAATTCATTATGGATAACTTATAGTTCTTTACCTTTCCATCACTGAATTGTGCCCTGTACACACGTCCAAAAGTACCCTCTCCAATAAGGTTGTCCATGTTGAAGCTATCTGTTGCCATCTGTAGGTCAGCAACTGAATAAACAGTTGCCTTAACTGGTGCTGCATTACTTTTCTTGGCAACAGGCTTGTTTGCAAAATCATCATCATCAAATGATTGATTCCGCTCAATCTTGGGAGGTGGTTTCAGGTTAACTGCAGCAGGAGAAGGCAAAGACTCCACCTGTACAGTGCTAGCCTCTTCAATAGGCTTCATGTCTACAAGGT